CAAGGCCGGATGTTATTTCGAAAGTCATCGAGGCAGTTTACATCTTGTTGTTTGAACCGAGTCAAAAGAAGGAGCAAACCCGAGTAAATTTCATGAGCGTGAGGAATATTACACAGTTGACAAAGATTCTCAAGATTGATAAAGATTGTCAAGTTTAACATTATGTTCCATTTCCACTTCAAGTCCGACACTTTTCAAATCAAAACGGACACTTTTCAAACTGAATCGGATACGCCCCTCACAATGGGCAGTAGTAATTAGGCCAAGCTTGGTACTGCTGGAAGCTTAGCACGCTTTGAAATGATCTAGATCGGCACACTGGAATCCGGTTATGGCAGGTGTTTCCACGTCACCTGGAATTTTCCCTGGTTTCCCGTTCGACAGCATTCAGACTTCGCGACGGCGGCGCTTTGGTCGCACGTTCGAGCGATCGATCGCGCTAGCGCACGACTGCATCGATCGCTCGACCGAAGCCCCGCCGTCGCGAAGTCTGAACGCTGCCTTTTCGGGTAACAGCGTGACATAACCTGCCAATACGGACCCTAGCCTGCCGATCTGGATCACTTTTCATAAGTGGGCGGAGCCTTTATGGGTGGGCGGAGCTACGCGTTACAGCCTAAGAAGAGCGAAAATTTGGAAGAAAAGATTGAAATTCCGCGAAAACGGTGGCTAGAGGGGCGGGGCCTAGTGTGCGAGTTTATGACTGCATGGCGCATATCGTTTTGTGAAAAGAACGACGTCGAAAAGAAGCTAAAAACTCAGCACTTGCGATAACTTCAAAGAAAATTGGTCGGAATCGTATCTGTGTCGATACTATTCGTTTTCAGCTGAAGTGTGTTTGCCAAATAGGAAAAAGGAAAAAAATCGAAGAAGCGGAATTCATAAAACTTCAACCGTGACCGCGCTGACAATTGGGCGAGGATATTGGGGCTGCTTGCAGCAGTACCTAATGCGGTCTTGTTGCTAACTGCCCATTGCGAGGATGTGTCATTTGGTTTGAGAAGTGTCCATTTGTTTGAAAAAAGTCCGTTTTGGCTCGAAAAGTGTCCGATTTGGATTGAAAAGCGTCCGACTTGGTTTGAAACGTGTCCGGTTTGAGTGAAAATGGTGTATCTACGCAAAGCGACCAAAGGAAAAGGGCACTGCTCTTTTCATCGTTCACAAGTGGCACAAAACACTTGACCAAGATGCATTACGAAACCAAGCGGTGACATGATTACAATCGCCAGATTATATGCACGTTTGTTTTTGCCAACACTTTCCCCTTACCATATATAACGTTGAAGATCCAAACAGTAGATGGAAGAAAGTATACGAAGGACCACGGAATTGGGAGAAATGATGAATCTGCACAAAAAAGAATGAATAGGTATCCATCCAATGAAATGCAGAAATTCTGCAGAAACAGTATTTCTCCCAGTGGCGAGGATGAGCGATCGATTCCTGTCGAATCTATCATTTCGGCACTTTTGCAGATCTTGCATTTCTCCACAAGTTCCTCAAATCTATACACTTTCTCGTATCCGCATTTAGTCACTTCTTCAAATCGTGCATGAATGTGGTCTTACTTTAGCTTTTTTTTCTTTGCAAAATACCCAGTTGGCGTGGAGGCTATCAATTTTTGAACTCACAACTTTGCTAATCAAGGTATGGGGTAGGTTAAGGAAGCTGGAATCACACGCCATGTCAGCATTATCTAGGGACAACTTCGTTTTTATCAGAACGAAGACCTTCGCAGCTGAGTGTAATGAAGGCACTAACGTAGGGGATCCACCACTTCTCATATAAAACAGGACCTAGCCTGAACACTAAAAGAATAATTCAAACCACTGTTGGATGACATTGTGATCCACCATACCTACCTTCTCCTTCAGCATTTGTCCAATTAGATGGCGGGGTCTGCTCAAGATCCACCATTCCAATAATAAGAAAAAAAAACTATGAATATGAGCCCAGCGAGATCTTTCTCTACAAAAGCTTATTAGGTCCCCTGGATGCTCTGTGTGTTGTATTCAAATCTGATCAGGCAGAGAGGGTAAGAGTTCAAGAGAAGCACGTGACATGCGGCCAATGCGTTTTTGATTTTATATTGATTCACAGTAGAGTAGCTTGATAAGCCTGCCGACTACATAAAGGTTCTCTCGCACAATATCGATCGTTAGGAATTTAGTAAAAAGATGCTGAAAACAAAAGAAACGTACCATTAGGTCTATCCTCCTTTCTCGATCCAATTTTTTCTCTTGAATTCACCGGCTTCCCTTTATTACCATAATCCACCTCGATTTCAATTTTCTTCCAATTGTTCCTACCTTTTGATGGTTTTTGTCCGTTTCCAACACTCTCCTGGTCTTCCTGAAATGAAAAACTTTAGAAAATTTATTTTTTTTTTACGAATTCGTACTTTGATCATTCTTAAATAGAGGAACGCAACC